GTGATTGATAAGGATAGTTTCCCCAAAGATGAACTTGAGATAACAGCATGGACAGAAGATGGGCTGGTGATGGCTGCTCGTCACAAAGTATATCGACATCTTCTGGTAAGGAATCTTTTTCTGTTAGACTTGTGACCATATAGAGGTTGAACTATGTCATCTAAGAAATAACATGATGAGCGTGTTTGGTATTTTCTTAATCAACAAGAAATCAGCATCAAATTAAATAAGTCTCAATTTGATGTTTCATAAAATTGGTGATTGGCGAAGCAATAAGCATCAAACTGTTGTCAGAGTGATCATAAGCTGGATTGGAATGTCAAACATACATGTTAGTTGTGGGGAGTTGAGTAATCCATAAGCAGATCCCACTTCCCAATTGCAGTGCCAAATTAGGCAAATATAGGCTTTGAATTTAGAAGCACGTGTAGTGCATGGTCTAATGGCTTGTTTACATTATCCTCATGTTAGTTACTTTTCCCATCTCATAAAAAGACTCTCAAATGTAGAACTCATATAGTTGTGTTTTCAAATTGATTTGTTGATTTAAATAAATTGTAAATTCCAGAAACGGTCATTTGTAATTTACCGTTTTCCACATTTAGATCCACCCCACAAACTAGTACTCCTTGTAGTGTTACAAATTTGAGAGTGCTGCCCACCAACCCCCCCTTCCCCCCCGACCCCCCAAGGTTAACATCGCTTTAATTCACTTTTAAATTTAATGGTAAATTCCAACGAACGTCCCCTGTGAATTAAATTTATTCTATGTTTTAGCCCTCTGTAAATACCAAACTATAAATCAAAATAAAATATATTTTATTTTATAGACAATGTTATTGTAAAAAGTGTTGTCATTATTATATTATACAAACTCTCCAGCTTTTCTTTTCAATAAAAATATTTTATCCCGTCTAACATTTTTTGTGAAAAAACTAAATATTCACTTTTATTATATTCTCAAAAAAAAATGCAAAATGTAAAAATAGACACTAATAAAGTGAAACTAACCCAATATGGAGGCATTCACTCACGAATCAAAAAAGTAAACTTGGAATAAAATAAACACTAATTAGGTTAAGAGTACTAAGCTATTATCAATATTTGTATATAATAAAAATTAAAATATTTTTTTATTTATTTCTAACTTTATTTACAAAGGATCTTTGTTGAGAATTTACTATTTAGAATCTTATTAGATATAATGGAGTGTTAATCGAATGACCTATGGTGGAACCATGGGCGTGTTCTCAGATACGTAAAATCACAAGCAATAGGAAGTACGGAGTATTAATTTGTATGGTATACTATACGTCTGAAAAAACCAAATTACAAAGTACAGTTCGGGAATTTACTCTTAAATAAATCTATGCTTTCATATGATTGTCAGGTCCCACTCCCCAATTCTCATCTCTTAATTTCTTCATATGTCATTAAGAACAAAAAGTGAAGTGATGTTGTGATCATGATGTCACTTTGAATACATTGCCCTCATAGATATAATTGGTAATGATTCATTCATACACAACAGGACAGCCTTGGGCTTTATTATTAACTACAATCATGTCACTTGCATTGAAATTTATATGGTGATGTGGAACCATACTCTTCCCTTCGCCCATCCCTATTAGCAGCATCTTACATGTCAAAGAAATGGACTCTAGAACCATCTAGAGACTGCCTCGTGGTATTCCCTCCAGTGTAGCTATGGACCAATCAATCATGTGACTATGTGAGATGTACATCAAAATTGTGTACACCATCCAAATTCTGCACCATAGGGACACCCGTGACCCATAGACGAGAGAAGTTGTGTTTGTTTTGTACTCTTGTACAAATACATCTCGTTTCTTTCACAAACGATTGTGTATTGCAAGGTTTGGTTTCTGTACACTTGGTGTACAGACAGATTATTGATGGACAAATTGCCTTTCTCTTTTTGAACTAACAGTTTTTATTTTGGATGATATGCCAGGGGGTGCAATTCCATCCTGAAAGCATCATAACCAAGGAAGGGAAAACCATAGTTCAGAATTTCATCAGATTAGTTGAGAAGAAGGAAGCTGAATCTCCGCAATAGAATACCGTGACATGGTAGGTGCCATTGCGGTCACACAGTCCAACAAAATCTGAACTTCACACGTATTACTGAACCGTATTATTTGTTACGGACTATTATTACTACTTAATTGATAAATATAAAAGTAAACTTGATGCTACATTTGATTGAATAGTTGAAATGAATGTCATTTCAATATATTGTATTATATTATACTTGTACGTGGGATGAGCGTGAGGCTCCGATTACACAAGTGTCTTGCTTGATCAGGATATTGACAAGAATAAACCTAGGAGTAACCAACATGAAGTACTCCATTTGTATACCAAGCTAACACAGATATAAAATGTTTGTGCTGCATATACATTTTATATTTGTGTGTCTGTGTTAGCTTGGTGTACAAATGGGGTACCTCATATTGGTGTACTCCTAGCATTGCCCTATTGACAAAGATTAGCATAGGAATTGAGAAAATGTGATCTTTCTTGCCATGGATTTTGCCATGGAGTCAATGCATTGGTTAAGCATTCGTGCAAGGATTGTGGCCTGTGTGCGTGTGATCATGTGGCTGTTGTGTTTTTTGGCGTTGAGTTCGGGCGTAACCCCCCTTCCCTAGCCGAGAACACAACCTTATAGCACCATTATCTATCAAAACCACTACAAGCTTAGCCACTACACTTGCTAACTAAGGAAGTTACTTTATTATAGCATTATATATTTTGGATGCACTATCGGTCCTGAAATGAGAGAAAATTGCAAAGCTCTAAGCGAATACATGTTTTAGGCTTTTACTCCGTATACCGTGTGAGGTACTTCGATTTTTCAATGAGAGCTAAATTTGACTTTTCATGACCAAATATTGCAAAATCTTGACTATTAAATACTTACTACCTTAGTCATTGAGTATTTTTTTCAGTGTTGACTTTTTGTAGTCAACAAAGACCGGTCTTCGATTTAAAATTAAATAAAAAATTACATAATATATTATATACCCGGAGTAGAAAAGATATTGTTTTAAACATATTTTATAATATAAATTAAGTAATACTCCCTCTGTCCTATAATGTTCTTCTCACTCACTTTTTACACAGTCAAATTTTAATTACTTTCTTTACCTATTTTCATTAGGTATTTGATAAAATAATATAATCTTGTCACCACTTGTTTTGTAGAATTTTTGATGTAGTTTTTAAATATATATGAATTTTATTTTTTAATTTTACACCTACAATCAAATAAATTGAATTGAAAATAAAGTCGGTCAAACTTCGTAAAATGAACCGGGAAGAACATTATAGGACGGAGGGAGTATAATTTTGGTATCAATATATAATATAGATTTTATCTTTTTTGTAGTCAACAAAGACGGATCTTCGATTTAAAATAAAAAAAAGTTACATAATACGAAGTATATTATATACCCGGAGTAGAAAAGATATTGTTTTAAAAATATTTTATAATATAAATTAAGTAATATAATTTTGGTATCAATATACTCGGAGTATATTTTGGATGCACTATCGGTCCTGAAATGAGAGAAAATTGCAAAGCTCTGAGCGAATACATGTTTTAGGCTTTTACTCTGTATACCGTGTGAGGTACTTGGCCGTACTTCTATTTTCAATGAGAGCTAAATTTGACTTTTCATGATCAATATTGCAAAATCTTGACTATTAAATACTTACTACCTTAGTCATTGAGTATTTTTTTCAGTGTTGACTTTTTGTAGTCAACAAAGACTAATCTTTGATTTAAAATTAAATAAAAATTACATGATATATTATATAGAAAAAAATCTTGTTTTAAAAATATTTTATATTATAAATTAAATAATATTATTTTGGTATCAATATATAATATACTCCCTCCGTCCCAAAAAATATTATCCATTTTAAATAGTATTTGGTTAAAAAATTACATATTTTGACTATAGATTGTGAGAAAAATATATTAAATTATAATATAAATTTATTATAAATTTACTCAGTAATACTTTATGAAAAGTAATTTAATTTTTTTGTTCGTGAGTGTAATGAAATACGAAGTATAAATTTGAAGGCCTTTATATTAATTACCTCAGGTCCAATACATTTTGTGAGACGACCCTAGCGTAATAGTTGAATACATCTCAGGGCGAGATCAAATTTTTACAAATCTCATAATGTTAGCCTCCCAAATAATCATACTCCCTACGTTTTAGTGTATTTCTCTAATTTGATTTTTTCGAGTTAAATTAGACAAACTTATATCTCTGGGTGTATGCTTAAAATGACTTTTTTCCTATTGAAGAATGGAGTAACCAAAGAACACCAAGCAAACGACCCTACACAATTTAAATATCATACACACAAACAAGAGAAATGCTAAAGTCATAAAACAAAAAAGTTAAAAAATAAACAACACCCCAATTTGCAAGCTATTCAACATTACCACCCAATCAATTTTTTTTAAAGAAAGAAAGAAAGAAAAAAAAGAAAAGCCATTTTGGCAAGTTACAGAGAGAAACTGTAAGAAAATATCAAAAACTACATAAATTAACAAAAGTTAAAAACAACTTGGATCATATTAGACTCAGCAAGGGGTAGCTAGGAGTAAAAAAAATGTGCTGAAAAGAAATTATGCTATAAAAAAGAGAAGAGTAATCAGGATGTTTTAGACCAAAAGTTGATGTTTGGTAGCCTCCATTCTCTTGAGCAAGCCAGCAATCTCACTCTGCATCCTGATCTTCATCTTGTAGTAATCACAGTGTGATTTCTCCAGCATCTTAAGCTCCTCCAGTTTATCCCTCCTCCGTTTCTCAGTTTCCAGCACGCACAAACCGGTCATCTTCTCCGCGTACTCTTCTTCCACCTTCCCACTCTGAAACACAGCCATCCTCCTGATGCTCTCTGCCTCCCTCCGTGCTTCGTCTGCCTTCTTCTCAAACATCATTGCCTCTGCCTCTTTAATGCGCACCACACTTTCCAAGCAGTCAAGTCCTCCTCCTCCTCCTGCACCTTTTTTCGGCGTCTTCACAGACCATTCGTCTCTAACCATTTGGTCATTGTTGTTCATGAATCCAGGAGGAGGCTTTGTTTGTTTATCATTATTATAATGGTTGTACGTTAAGGATGATTTCTGAGCAATGGAGGAAGGAAGGCCGACATTGTTTTTCAGGCCATCTGTGTCTGTTAACACAAAGGAAAAAAAATCATCATCATTAATTAGAATGTTAACCAAACGAAATAGAAAATCACTGACTGTGTTCATATTGCCAAAAGGCTAATATTCATGTTACAAGTAGAATTTCAGATGCTGTGATAAAACTTTCAGAAATGGAATGCACATATCTACGAAATTCCATCCCATGAGTTCAATGAATGGATCATGGTTGCATTATTATGTTCATTGGAAACCTTGAGTTGGTTGACCCCATCACAAGTTAATTAAGTAAAGCCTAGTGATATGAAAAAAAAGTTGGTCCAAATATCATGATGCTTAACAAAATGAAACAATCCTTCGTCCCACTGTGTATCTAAGTTCAGGACAAGTGAAAATAACACGTAAGTTAAAAAATTGTGGAATTGTGTGAACTATATTGAGTGTTAAGTATGAATGATTTTGAACCACACAATTATGACCAAATATGTTATGGGACAAAAATTTTGGGATGGGCCAAAATGGAAAAATGGGGATATGCGTAGTGGGACTGAGGGAGTATTATCTTTTAATTTTCCTTAAATAACATTGCTGCTGTCAGCCAAGATGCAACACCTCAAACCTCATAATACATTTTATTTATCAGTTCAAAGCTAAACCCTGCGGGTGACTGAACCGAGTTGGACAACAACTGTAGCTGAACCGGTTATGAATAATATAAAAAAACATAAAACTAAAGTTGTATGAAAAATATGCAACAACAACAACAACAACCCAGTTGAATCCCACAACAGTAGGGTCTGGGGAGGGTGTGTGTATGCAGACCTTGCCCCTACTCGGAAGTAGGGAGGCTGTTTCCAAGAGACCCCCCGCTCCACCTGCACAAAAATATGGAAGAGAACACAGTATAGCACAGATAAGACACCAAGTACAAGCAACAAGTACAAACAATAGCAGAAGATTCCAAACAAATACAACACACTACAAAACAACCTCTACAACACCGAGCTCCTATCAAGCTACTCTAATCCTAGTTCTCCAAAGGTTCCTATCTAGGGCCATATCCTCAGTCAGGTCGAGAAGTCCTAAATCCTGCCTAATCACCTCCTCCCAATTCTTCTTAGGTCTACCCCTTCCCCTACTTCCCCCGATAACCGTAATTCTCTCGCATCTCCGTACAGGGGCGTCAGCATCCCGCCGTCTCACATGGCCAAGCCATCTCAACCTCGCTTCCCGCAACTTGTCTTCCACCAGTGCCATACCTACCTGACGTCGGATAACTTCGTTCGAAATCCTATCCAACCTTGTCTTCCCACACATCCATCGTAACATCCGCATCTCCGCCGCATGCAGACGACGCACATGAGTCTTCTTAACCGCCCAACACTCTGCCCCATATAACATAGCAGGTCTGACTACGGATCGATAGAACTTACCTTTCATTCTAGGCGAAATCTTCGGATCACACAACACCCCTGAAGCTAACCGCCATTNGTCTACCTTAGGTACTAGGTGAGAGTCAATCCTGACTTCCACCTCTGATTCTGTATCCCGGCCGCTGAAACGACATTCCATGTATTCAGTCTTGTTCCTACTTATTCTGAATCCTTTAGTCTCAAGGGCAAGGCGCCATAATTCCAACTTATCGTTTAGTCCCTCACGCGTGTCGTCGATAAGCACAATATCATCCGCGAAAAGCATGCACCATGGGACCCCGTCTTGAACACATTGAGTTAGGACGTCCATCACCAAGGCGAACAAAAAAGGGCTAAGGGCAGACCCTGGTGTAACCCCATCCCTATCGAGAAGGAATCTGAGACGCCCCCGGAAGTCCTTACCTGGGTCATAGCCCCATCGTACATATCCTTGATCGCGCGAGTATACACGATGGGAACTCCTCTCGCCATTAAAAATAACTTAAAAAAACCACGAACTTCAATTTTTTCCATTGAAATTACTCCCTCAATCCCAAAATGATGTTTACAGTTTGACTTCACGGAGTGTTGAAAAGTAAAAATTGTGGTTTGCAAATTTTGTAGAAGAGAGAGAAACATTATGAGCCACATATTTCATTCCTTATTGAACACACACAGAGAAAGTGTAAACTTTATTTTGGACAGCCCTAAAAGCATAGTTGTGAATGGCGCTCGCCATTCTCGCCTAAGGCGCCTATGGCTGTGTGGCGACCATGTGACGCCATCTTCAGACCTGGCGAGGCGTTTTACGCCATTCTCGCCAATGGCGGTCGCCATGGACGCCAGACTCTGAGTCGAAAGGCGTTCTCCATGGACGCCAGACGCAGGTCAAGGGTTTTTTAATTAAAAACCTTGACTTTCTTTTTATAACGCGCTGACCTATATCTCGATCGAAACACTTCATCGATTCAACTGCCTCGCCTCTGCCTCTGCCTCTGCCCTCTCGCCGTCGATCGAATTACTCCCTAGCCGACGCAGCCTCCTGCCATCCTCAAGTTCTCCTCAGCCGGCGCAGACCCTCCTCTCTCTCCCGAGTCCGAACAGCGCACATCTTCGCAGACTCAGAGCCGGCGCAAGTAAAGTCCAGACTCCACACTTCGCAGGTCACACTCAGACTTTTTTTTTTTCTACTTTTCTTATTGTTTTTTTTGAATGGTTATTGTTTCTTTATTGTCTTTATATTCTTAATTTCTTATAGATATAATTTATTGTCTTTATTTTCGCTATTTTCTACTTTTTTTTGTTTTCTACTTTTCTTATTGTTTTTTTTTTGTTTTTTGTTTTAACTTTTACCAATAACTCATGTTTTACTTTGATAATTATGTTTGATACAAAGTTAAGACTAAAAGTTTAGACTTAAACTATATATATATATATATATATATATATATATATATATATATATATTTATTTATTTATATTTATATTTATATTTATATAATGTTCGCCATTTGACCGCCCGCCGCTCGCCACGCTTCTCGCCATAAAAAAGAACCTCTCGCCCGCCACTCGCCATTCGCCATTCACAACTATGCCTAAAAGGAGAGTGCAAACTTCATTTTGGGCCAGAGGTAGTATCATTTGAGCTTTATAAAAGTCAAGCAACTAGAACAACTCATATTGCTGGTTCACCCGGTTCAAGGTTTTGGAGTTGTTCAGCATCAGTTCTCAATTCCATCAGTTTTATAGGGTATCTGCACCAGTTTACCGGCTGGTTCTGTAACCGCCAGGTCTGACCTCTGGTCCAGATTCTATTTTCTAATAGCATGGTTGTATTCAAGATAACATGTTAGTGATGTTATTCCTCCATTACCTTTTGTTTTGTTTTGTCATTGCAATAGCTCTCTAGGTTTTCACTAAATGAAGTGTAACATGGTTCCTTTTAGTGAAAAGGTAGCTTTGAAGAAAGGTTTTAGTGTAACGTGCTTTATGATTGAAATCGATGTCTATGTCATAACTCAATGCCTATTTAGAGTATTCACGATTAAGGCTACATATATATTTTACCAATGGTGCAATTTTCCAATTAAGTTTTTACATGAGAATGACCAGTAGATGCCAGAGAAATTCTCCACTCATATCCCAAAACATATTTGGAATAACATTATTTTAAAGTCTGATTTAAGATGGACAAAATGGTCTTTAATTGATCGTCAATGAAACAAGCTACCCACAATAAATTTTAAAAAGAATGAGAAATTGAAAAAAAAACCTTGTAAAATGCCCAGTATAAGAGGATGATAAGAGGATTGAGCCTGGGTACTTACAGTCAAAGAACTGGAAAATGACACTGCAAACATCTGAAGGAGACATAGTCTTTTTCCCAAGCTTAACTAGTAACTCTTCGGCCTTAGCATGCAGTTCCTTGCCTCTAAAATCTTCGCTCCCCTGAAAGATTTTCTGAACGCATTCAAGCTCTTTCATAAGGGTTTCCTCCCCCCAATCCTTTGCACAAGACTTGAACACGTCCTTAACAAACCCAAACATTTCTGAAGCATGACCACAGCCAGGACAGTAAAATTGCATCTCAGTTGTCGCAGAGGGCCCATCATAGCGTGGGCCCGGTTTTATGAGGTTTTTTTGGATGCCACAAACTGCATGGCACCAGTGTGCGCATGCATCACACCCAACCCAACTGCAAGTATTGCTGGCACAGTCAAAATTGAAACACACGGGACACATGCATTCACTGCAGAACCCTCTCTTGGAAGAACAAATCTTACAATCACAGTCCTCAACAGGTAACGGTCTCTTGCAATTTATGTTTCGACACCTTTCGAGTGAAAAGATTTCTACTAGTTCTGCGGTGGATAGATTGATTTTGCTTGATAAAAAGCTTCCAAGACCCATTTTAAGGGCAACCAAAATCTCAAGTTGATTCTTGTGACATTTCAAGAGAGACCCATTTGTAAGGTCCGATCTCCTCTCAAGCCGGTTTTGCAAGCCCAACAGTTCATTTTTCCTATCTGGTGTGGTAATGAGGCTGTTCAAATATTCCTTTGTTGATTCAACCGTTTCGTCAGGAAGCTCTTGAATTACCTGAGCCATTACAGGTAAAGCCTCTGACACAATCTCTATAAGGATCCTCTCAGGGCTGGACAGCTTATGAACTACTCTTCCCTTGTCTATCCCCTCGAAACCTTCTGAATCTTTTACCCTTGAATCATCACCTGATTGACCATCCATCCTAGGCCTCGCGGGCAACTCAGATGGGAAAAACGAGTTGTTGTCTGATTTTGTAGTCATGTAGAAGCTGCTATTACAAGTATCCTTATTCGCCATACCAACACCACTCCCAAAGGCAAAAATTCCACTCCCGTGATTCGACAATACCACACCAGCGTCTCCAATCGGTCTAAAACGGCTATGAACTGACCCATTAGTACCCTCCCCACAATTCCAAATGTGGTCACTCTCCCTCCTATGACTACCCATCGAACACTCGTAATTCTCTGTTGAGTTTCGAGTAAGAGAGCAACTGGGGTTGTGCGAAATCGGGTGCGAATACGAGTACGACAGTGATACAGCTGTGAAATCATTCGAATATGGAGTCTGGGTATTGTTGTTATGTGATGGCTGTTCATGCATGCTCCTGCTAGACCTCAGTAGTGAAGGGAGATATCCATTTGGGATTCGGTTTGACCCGGCCACGGAGAGTGAAACATCAGGTAAGGCCAGAGAAAGGTTCAAAGTTTCAATCTTTGGCTTCTTTTCACTATTTCCTGCCTCAATTTCCTCATCCTCAACCTCCCTCTTAGCGGAATTTCCTCTGTTCTCATTCATCTGGAGAAAATCTCTCTCTACCCATCTGTTACCCTCATCGGTTTGATCCTCAGCAACAACAATTTCTTTACCCTTATTATTTCCCATTTTCTTACAGGGCGCGTCTCTATTTAAAAATCCAAGTTTGGAATTTTCGCATAAGTAGCTCAGAGTGAGCTCCTGATAACCAGAAGACCCAGTCCTCTTGGACTGAGAAACATCGGCACCAGAAGAACAGCCTTCATAGGCGATTCTCATTCTCATTTCTGAGGTTGACTTCCGGAGAAAATCTAAACCCTTTTCTGGACGCGTTTCAGGGTTTTTCTTATCACTCTTTTCATCAGAATAATCAATAGTACTATTATGCTTTCTGTATTGTCTTTCAGATTCGCCGGCGGAATTTTTACTCTCTTTGAGCATCATGCTTGGAACTGATGGATGAATTTGAGAGAAAATTGAAGGCGGGGAAAGATCAGAACTTACAGAGAAATGAAGGGAGTCAGATGCCAAAGACGGAGCCAGTTGGGAAATTTTACAGAATCTGTAGGGTGACGACTATGGTATCCAGCGCTCCATTCCATTCTCTCTCTCTGCAACGGCCGACGGTATTTTTTGGCACCCAAAACTTCAGAATATTTGAGAAACGTCCCCTTAATTTAGCATTTCTTTCTTCCTAAGGCCATCGAAAAGTTTGGGTAGTCTTGAGACCGTAGACCGTGTCCTATACTAGACATTTCCATAAGGTAGTGTTTGGCAACTAGCATTTCATTTCAATTCATGCATTTCAATTCCAAAATTTGAAATCTTGAATTTCAAATGACAAGGGGAGGTGCATGGATTTCAAATTAAGCTTTGTTTTGAATGCAAAGAAGTTGATTCAAATCCAAATTCAAAATGCTTAAGTTTCCCAAACATGGAATTTAAGCCAAATCCGGATTTGAAATCCAAATCCATGTTCCCAAATATACCATAAAGTTATTTCTATTCCAAGGATTTGTTTGTACATTGTAGGTGTGCTAGTCAGCTAGTGTATTGCTAATTTTTGCTAGTGTATTGCTAATTTTTTTAATGTACAAACACTTTATCTCAATTTAAATTTTTGTTAACGTACCAACACTTCGTGCCAGTCTGAATCATCAAAATGTTAGTCAGTCTATACTTTTGGTGTAAGTTTGGGGTACAAATCTTAGTGTAAGTATAACATTGTCCCATTTCGACCACAAGTTTCATTTGGCCTTCAAATTTTTGGAAAAAGTTACAACGGTCTCACACTAGCTGACCTTTTCTGAAATGTTACAATTGAATTGAATTAGGACTAGTCCAAACCAATTACACAAACAAAAAAACCAAACTGATCCGTATAAAATAATACCAATATTTCTAAGAGACTGATCTGTTTAATCTCATATCGTCTTTTTATTGACCATCTAGTGTGTAGTATTGTTTTTAGTCTTTTTAAATTCCTAGGTGGTACAGAAAACTCAAGGCCCTTCTATAGAATGAAAAAGGAAAAAAAGACCAAATTTAGAAGCAGAACATATGTCATATCCATAAAATAGAAACTCAAACGTAAACTCACTAAAGAAGAAAAGTTGAATATGATGAGAGATCGAATAGTTTGCTTATGCAAATGTACATAAGGTGTGTGTGTGTGTATATATATACTCCGTATATATATATATATATATATATATATATATATATATATATATATATATATATATATATATATATATATATATATATATATATATATATATATATATATATATATA